TAGAGACGGGGTTTCACCATGTTGACCAGGACGGTCTCGATCTCTTGACCTCGTGATCCACCCGCCTCAGCCTCCCAAAGTGCTGGGATTACAGGCTTGAGCCACCGCGCCCGGCTCTCAAAACAAATATTAACATAGATACACCTGTCTGTCCTGTGAGCTGACAGCTCTATTTCAGGAGCCTCAGAACTTCTGAGTGGCAGTGCTTCTGTGGACGATGTATTTTAATATTTCATTGCATCATTTCCCTTGTTGTCTTTTTTCTTAAGCCAGTCAAATTTAGCAGCGAGGGGATCGTATACTGACTTCAGTGATACTAATGTTGGTAAGTTCTGTTAACCTGTTGCCACTGGACCAGCCTTGTTGGGTTTCAGGGTTTTTTTTTGTTTTTGTTGTTGAGGCAGAATCTTACTCTGTCACCCAGGTTGGAGTGCAGCGGTGCCATCTCAGCTCATTGCAACCTCTACCTCCCAGGTTCAAGTGACTCTCCTGCCTCAGCCTCCAGAGTAGCTGGGACTACAGGCCTGCACCACCATGTCCGGCTAATTTGTCTATTTTTAGTAGAAACGGGGCTCCACTCTGTTAGCCAGGCTGGTCTTGAAGTCCTGAGCTCGGGAGCTCTGCCCGCCTTGGCCTCCCAGAGTGCTGGGATTGCAGGTGTGAGCCACTGCGCCCAGTCTTGTTGGGTATTTTGCTGCTATTATTAATAAGCAGCAAAGCTTAAATCAAACTAACATCCTGGAGACACAGGGATGCGCCTGCGTGGTGGTGACCCTGGCATGGCGTGCAGGGACCTTACCTGTCTCCACCCAGGATCAGGGCAGTCTTGAGGCCAGTGAACTTCCCCAGCTGAGAAGAGAAAGTGATTGAGAGAGGGCAGGGTGAGACGACAGCCCACTCATGGCTCAAGTGGGCCACTTGTTCCCGGTCCCAAGTCAGCCCCAGCCTCCCACCCTCCCCCAGCCTGGACACACCTCCTTGGTGAACTTCAGGGTCTGCAGGGCCAGTTCTCGGGTGGGCGAGAGGATGAGGGCACGGGCCCCAGTCTGGGCACTGTGGGTCTTGAGCCGCTCGAACATGGGGAGGAGGAAGCAGGCGGTCTTGCCGCTGCCGGTGCGGGCCATGGCCACCACGTCCTTGCCATCCAAGATCACCGGGATGGTCTGAGAAGCCACAAGTGGGGTCGGCCAGGTCAGCGCCTCCCCAAACACCACGTGACCCAGAGCTTCAAGGCCCTGAGCAGTGGGTGTGCTATGGATCTCAGCGAATGGGCAGGCACCTGTCACCTAGCCAAGCCTATTCTTGCCCATTCTTTCAAAAGCTCGTTTGCATGCCTCCAAGGATGAGCAGCTCACTACCCCAACTCTTTCCAATGCTGGAACGCTCTTCTTCAGGGGGAGCCAGACTCTACTTCCCCGTCTAATCTTCCTCTCAGGACTCCAGAAGGGTTGTGGGGAGGGACAAAAGGGTGGGAGCATGGATGGGGGCTTGCTTTGTTGCCCAGGGTGGACTTGAACTCCTGGCTTCAAGTGATCCCACCTCTGCCTCCCCAAACACTAAGATTACAGGCGTGAGCCACCGCACCCAGCGCTCACCTTGATATTTAAATCCTTGCTCCGGCTGCTACTGATTTTAAAGAGAATGTGTGGCTGGGAGCTACCTGAGCCGTGGCACGAGCCGCGGCACAGCTGTGGGCAGCCTCCGGGAGGCTCAACTGGCAGAGAGGCCCAGGGTGGAGTCTCTGCTCGGCCCAACCTTCTCCACCTAGAAAGTGGGCATGCTAGCTGGGGCTTTAGCAGAGTAAAGGGGGCAAGAGATGTGACAGCTAGGACAAGGGGTGGCTGTCAAGAGTCCAGACAGGAGGGCCACGTCACTCCTCCCTGGCCCCCACCCATCCACTGCCCCACCCCTCACCTTCCTCTGGATGGGCGTCGGCACTTTGTACCCCTTCTTCATGATGCCTTTGAATACCGGGTAGCTCAGGCCTGGGAGAGATACGGAATGGTCAGGGGGCCGAGGCAGCCCCCGCAGCACTGACCCCAGAGAACTTTACAGGACAAATGACAGCTTCATCAACAGTAAACAGCAAAAAAAAAAAAAGCAATAAAGCAGAAACTGAAAGGTGGAATGAGACTCCGGAGACAGATCTGACTGGGGTGACAGAACCTTATCTGATTTTCTGATGTGAACCCACTCTTGAGGTCATGACAGCAGGGACCGCTGAATGCTAAACGGGGTCTTAGATGACACTGAGAAGCTGTGCCTTCATTTTAGGTGTGGTAAGGTCCTGCGCCTCTCGGGGGTATGTGCGGACACAGTGAGGATACCTGGAACGAACTTCGGAATCCCCCCAGGTGGTGGGGAGGGACAAACGGGTGGGGCCGTGGATGGGAGCTCGCTTTGTTACCCTGACTGGACTTGAACTCCTGGCCTCAAGTGATCCTGCCTCTGTCTTCCAAACGCTAAGATTACAGGCGTAAGCCACCGCACCCAGCACTCATCTTGATATTTAAATCCTTGCTCTGGCTGCTATTGATTTGTAAAGAGTGACAGTCAGGCTTTATTTCCAGCCAGCCAGGTGTCCCCACAGCACCCAGCCATCCTATCCTTTCCCTCCTTCTGAAATGTCCCTCTGCCATGCAGTAAGTCCCCGACTGTCTCTGCCTGTTCCTCTACCTGCATCGCCTTTCCCAAGGCCTGTTCTAACTGCCCTCTCCTGCATCAGGCTTGCTGCCCGATGGAAAGCCCTGAATGACTGGGAAACTAGATCTGCTACCTCGGTCTACCACAGTGCTGGGCCAGAGTGGACATCAGTGATGGAGTGCAGAGGCGGTGACGACCCCCAGCTGCCGCTCCCACAAAGTCCTGACGCCAAGCTGGCACCCACCCATGGACTGGAAGCCTCCAGACTTCTTCTTCTTCTTGTTCTGGGCACGCACCATCTCTCGGGTGTCCGGCTCCACATCCGAGGTGCATTCCGAGGTGGGGAAGGTGGGCAGGGGTCTGCCAGGTCCCAGCTGGGAGGGAAGAACAGAGAGGTGGTATCACTGCAGGCACAGTGGGACCACAGGGGGCCGTGAGGGGGCTGTGCTGTTGGCCTCTCTCCCCCATTCAAGCCAATGGTGATTCCACCAGATCAGGTCACTTCTTTGCTAACAGGTTCTCCTTTGGCTGGGTCAGGACGGGACAGAAGTTTGGAGTGGGCTCTGCAGACAGACTGTCTCAGTTTCAATCCCAACTCTGTCACCTAACAGCTGTGAGACCTGAGGCAAGGGACTTAATCTCCCTGAGCCTGTGCTTCCACACCTGGAAAATGGGAACGACAAGCAGAGGCCCCCCAGGGTGCTGTGACGGTCGTATGGGTGAGTGTCAGGCTTAGGAAGGTGCCCAGCACACAGGTGGTGGTATTATGACTATCACCATCACCATCGAAGCCCTCAAAATTAAATACCTTGCCAGATACAGTGGCTCAACCCTCTAATCCCAACACTTTGGGAGGCTGAGATGGGCGGATCACTGAGGTCAGGAATTTGAGACCAGCCTGGCCAACATGGTGAAACCTTGTCTCTACTAAAGTGCAAAAATTAGACAGCCATGGTGGTGCATGCCTGTAATCCCAGCTACTCAGGAGGCTGAGGTGTGAGGATCGCTTGAACCGGCGAGGTGTAGTTTACAGTGAGATAGTGCCACTGCATTCCAATCTGGGCAACAGAGCAAGACTCTGTCTCAAAAACAAAACAAAACAAAAAATTAAATAATAAAATAAAAATTAGCCAGGTATGGTGACACCCACCTGTAGTCCCAGATAATCAGGAGGCTGATGCAAGAGGATCACTTGAGCCCAGAAGATGGAGGCTGTTCTGAGCCATAAACTCGCCACTGCACTGCAGCCTAGGCGACAGAGCCCGTCTCAAAAAAAAAAAAAAAAGAAATACACACATTTTTTTTTAGAGAGACAGGGTCTCACTCTGTCACCCAGGCTGGAGTACAGTGGTGCAGTCATAGCCCACTGCAGCTCTGAACCTTGAACTCCCAGGCTCAGGTGTCTCCCACCTTAGCCTTCCAAGTAGCTGGGACTACAGGCATGTACTACCACACCTGGCTAATTATTTTCTTTTTATTTTTTTGTAGATATGAGGTCTTACTATGTTCCCCAGGCTAGTCTTAAATTCCTTGCCTCAAGCAATCCTCCCTTTTGGCCTCCCAAAGTGTCGGGATTACAGGCGTGAACCACCACACCTAGCCCATAAATATTTTAAAGAGTCAATCGAAATGCATACCATGTGTGAGGTGCTAGACTTTTTGAAGCTATCCCGCCCCCTACCGGCCACCAACCAATCTCCTTCCTGATCTCTAGTCTGTCTCACGCCTGGCCTCCTTTCTGCTTACCCAGGACCCACTTGTCCTGGCACGGCTAAATCTAATCCAGACACCTCTTCTGGGGAACCTTCTTGGGCTACAGGGCTGTCTCCTTTCTCTCAAAAATAGCACTTATGGCCGGCTCATGCCTGTAATCCCAGCATGGGGAGGCTGAGGTGGGTGGATCAT